TCACAATAACTGTGCCCAGAGGGACTTCTGAGGGACATCTCCAAGAGGATTCACAGCGTGTTTGACCCTCCTGCGCTAGGGGCTGCTGCTGGAAGGGCAATGTGGCTCCTCACCCTCCGTGCTATGGACATCTTGGCCATATCCAGGCATTGCTCAGGTGAAAACCTATCCCCCCTATCCATAAAGTTCCTTGATATCCCCAGCTGCATCAGCACCCGTCATGGCCCAAGCCCATCACCGTGACACCATGAACCTAAAGGGCTTTGCTTGCCACTTYCAAGACCTTCAGGAAAAAATAGTCCCACCTGTTGCTAAGTATTTTGTTAAAGAAGTCTTTGTCTTTGCACTCCGGTAAGTCTTTGCTCTAGGCTAAGTTATAAAAGCCAGGATCTTCCCTGTACGGGGATACAGTTACACATTTTAGCACAAAGAAAGGCTTCCAGTGGAATACTGATCTCACACGTCAGCTAGCAAAGAAAGGCAGAAGAAGTTAAGGTGGAACAGTGGCAGCTAAGCCCCCCCTGAGCCTCACAACAGGCTGCTGGCAACGCGACTACCTCACGGTCCCCCTTCTCTTATTGTGTCTAACACACCAGCGCTATACGGTCTCATTTACGCTGTGGTTTGCCAGAAAAAATCCAGGAATATCTTCACCAAGAGGCCGTCCAGCAGCTCCCGCGGTGGGCTGGCACCAAGTCCTCGTGCAGGAATGCTTCCTGCAGATCCCGGTCCTCCTCTTCTCCCAATCCGTCACTGAGCAGTGGCACCGGGGCTCGGGGAAGCCTTGCAGCTCCTTGGGTTCCTGCGACTCAGTCCCCACTAAATGGACATGAGGCCTCCAGGGAGCTGCTAGCCATGCACTGCAAGCCACAGGCCACAAGCGAGGCATTTCCTTCATTTTTCCCCCAAACAGACAGGATCTGCTCAAGCAGGCCAACCACAGCAGGCAGCCCAGGGCTGTTCCCAGTTGGACGGTGAATGTCTCCAAGGATGGAGACTCCAAAACACCCCCAGGCAACTTCTTCCATGTTTGACCATCTTCACAGCAAAACAGCTTCTTCTTACGTTTCCAGGGGATTTCATRTTTGTGCTCGTTGCCTTTGTCCTGGCACTGGGTGCCACTGAAACGGCTCCATCTTCCTCATCACCACCATGGGGTACTGAAGCACATCAAGACTCCACTGCCCTGCAGTCTTTTTCCCGTCAAGGATGAACTCTCTCAGAAGAACATCCAGGCTGCCCGTTCTCCACCAACATCTAAACCTGCCAGGCTCTTACACAAGAGTACAAGGTACTTGGTGGCCAGCCCGAAGGTTTCCAACGTCAACATTTATGCCCAAGGAATTAAAAACCACCAGGCAGAGGCCCCGGAAYTGGATCACCATATTATTAAATTTTCAGTACGCTCCCCAGCTTTTGCCTCAGAGCAACTAGCTCTCTCAGGCCGTTCTCAGCATGGGTCGGGAGTTCCTACCGGCTGAGAMGCAGCTGCAGCGGGTGGTTTCACACAGCTGTGCTGCTCTGCGGGGCCGGGGCGCTCAATATCACCCACGCAGCACGGAGCGGGCCCTCCAGGGTGCCATGCACCAGCGTAGGTCTCATCTTGGAAAACGGCACCCATTTTGCACCTAAGTTGCACGGGGATGTGGGCTTTGGAGGCATCTAGGCTCCCGAGTGCCCCAGCGGTGAGAGCACCAGCCCTGAGCTCGTCTGCAAGCACAGCAGCGGCAAAAATTCCCAGTGTCTGACCCCAAATGGGTAATAATAAATAATGCTTCTGAGCCGTGTTCCTGGGCCAACAGGAATTATAAAAAACAAACCCAAACCCACGATGGTTTAAGGTTAAAAAGAGTTGTCTGTGCAGAACACAGAGTTCTGGGGTAAAAACACAGTCAGGAAAGGGAAGATGTTTCAAGTGGACCGCGCATGGTGAAACCCAGCTCAGTGCTTAGCTCTGGTTCTCAGGCGTATCTGAGACGACCTCGAAGCTTCTGTGCTCGTATTTAAAACCCTGCTTATTCAGGTAACATCCCAGAGACTGGCTTGGGGTATCCCTAAAGCTTACACTGAGAAACAACATTGGAAGGTGCCAACAACTACAGACCAACGGGCAGTTTTTGGGGATAAAGCCAGAATGAAACCACTTGTGAGTACTGAGAAGATAAGTAATAATCCACACGGAGCAKTTACAGACAAACCATGTCCAAACAATCTACCTTCCATCCATAACACACAAAAAAATCAAGCCTTCTGGGTAGGAGAGAAGCTGTGACCATGATCTGCTCTTGCTGGGCCATTGCTGCTGACAGTCCTCGACTGGGCTGAGCAAGCAGTGTGSAGGAAACACCTGGAGGGAGCTGCGGAGCTGGCTTCAAAGCCACCCCCAAAACTTAACTATTCCTAGCTCGGTGGCCTTGGACAGCTTTCCTCCTGGATTTGCACTTTGTCTGGATTTCAATCTTTTCGTCAAGAATGGTGATGACAGAATAAAGAATTTCCTTCTTAAATCAGCAGACTCCGACATAGCGTGTCAAGCTCCTAGTGCTCTTCAGGGCAATTCTTAATTACAACCCTATTTGTCAAGCTGGAGATATGGTCTGAAAAAAGCAAAACCAAAAAAATCCGACTGCAGTTCTATTAMGACAAGTGCTTCAGGCAAGTCCCAGACCAACTTCTGACATGTGTGAACAAGAATGATCAGAGCTCTGCAAAACAGGACGAGTGAGAACCCAAAGAACAAAGAGAAGCAGCACATRAGAGAGGTCAACACCACGTACAATGTGGTGGGCTCCATCTACTGCTTTTTTAACAAATTCTTGGTGAGCATTGGCCCAATAGTGGCAGGAGTTGGTGTCACCTGCAGTGGGAAACGTCTGCACGTAGGTCCTAGCAGTACTCAACCCAGAGGTGCAACGAAGATGAAGGCAAGTCCTTGATCATCGCTAGCGCATTGGGCACCTGGTGTGCTCACAGCTCCAGGACCCGTCTATTGCTTTGAAAAATACACGGCGCATGGCGAAATTTTCAAAAAACATCCCCACAGTGTCCAGCAACTCATATTTCTATCAAATCCAAGGGTATTATAAATCATATCCATCTTCGGGCTCAATAAATACAGCTAACTGAATTAATAACCTCCCATCTCTTCTAGTTTGAGTGAAACAATTTCTTCCTATATTCTTTAAAACCAGAAAAATCTGACCTCCAGACACCTTTCTGTTCCCAGCTTCCCAAGCTATATGATTAGGATATCTCTTTCAATCTTCCTTTTTTTTTTTTTTTATGTCTTTTATTATTATTGTCATCGGTCTTCTTTCAGATTGCTTCATAAACCTCTGAAGACAGGCAAGAGAAAACAGCATTCCATAGAAACGAATGAAAATATCTGAGCAACACCTTCTCAGCAATGACGAACTGAGATCAGCTGAGAACTTAAGAGTTCTTTTCCATCCCTCTTTTTGATGAAGTCTTCATATTGAAGTTCAATTTTTGGATGCCTTTCCTACTAGCCCAACTATTGCACCTATTGCAGCTTGTTCCTCTTCCAACTGCCCCAGCTCTGGCAGTCTTAAGCAGCCTGAATTGTGCAGCAGTTGGACAACACTTGATATTTTACTTAAAAATGAGTATCTGAGATGGGAGCTGTGCACTCACACTTGCTTTTTATCATGGATAGGAACAGTCATCTTTTYGTAACTGCAAACTCCCCATCACTGCTCTGCTGACGGGCTCGTGGTGCCGCACGTCCTCGTGGCTCGTTGATTCATCACTGCTCAAGAACAATCCCCCCAAATCCTTACAATCTGTGCAACGCATCTATATTTTCCTCTGTGAGAAGCCAACATCTTGCGGTAGCCCATAAAAAAAGAGTGGGCCATAATGAGAGACTTTACAGGGGACACGTGGATCTGAAGGAGTTGGTCGTGATGCTCCTCAAGGTTGCTCCTGGCCGGTGGCAGGTTGCTGTATGGAGCCCGTRGTGCAGCGCAGTCTGGTTCATCCTCTGCAGCCATCTCAGATGCTGCTACTCTTCTCAGCACAGATTTTATTGGTAGAACATTATTCAGCCTAAAAGGATGCCGAAACATGAACCAGGGGATACTGCGTGGGACCCGCTGCTGATCTAAGTGTGTCAAATTAAATTCGTGTATGAGTAGCGTGTTACACTTTGGGCCTATGAGTATCTCAAATGCATCTCCTCAGCACAACTATTAGGAGAAAAATATATAGTATGGGCTGCCGCGGTCCTGCAGCCTCGGGAAGAGCTCTGGGTAGATGGCACTGGACTGTGATGGCAAATGCTATTCTCCTAAATCTAGGATTTCTCTTGCAGATTTGCATACTTTCATATGGGAGTCCTCAAATCTCAGCACTTAAGGAAAAAACAACCCCCAAAACACTGCTTCACCAGGCAGTTAAGCTTGTACTCCATCTTACTGGAAGGTATGAACATGAGCTGTGCCTTCCAAGGTTTAATAAATGCAGTTCCCTAGAAAGCTTCGGCTCCTGCTCCCTGCCTGCTGGGCCGCCCTGAACACCATGAGTATATTCACACATTTATCCTGCAAAGATGTGCAGCAAAAAAAAAGCCTTAGCTCTTTATTTCTATTAAAAATATTAATAAAAAAGGTCTACAAGATGAAACAAAAATAGATGAAGGAAATATCTGGGTCATATGTGCAGCTTCAGTGAGATGAGATGATGAAAGGCGTTTAGCAGCACTCGCTGCTGAGGGAAGAGGAACCACACACAGCCTCCAAAATAGAGCAACGTGGGCAAGAGTCACACCCAACTCACCCAAATCCGAACACGCCTTTCCAGGGAGGAAAACCTTCCTAAAATGTGTCTSCCTCTTTGCAGATGAGTAATATCTTGTATTTATTAGGCGCTTGTGTTTTTCTTAGAAGAAGAGCCCTTCCTCCTCAGCCACCCCATCTGCAGATGACCTACGGTCAAGACGGCAGAGGATGCTACAAATTCAGAAGATATTGTGGRCGTGAAGGTGGATGAGGGTGTGGGAAGACACAAGCCCTCTTCGGTTGCCYGCCTTCACCAAATGGAGGGTGCTGGATGGGAAATAGCTGTGTCCTTACCGCAGGCTGGTAGCTGGAGCAGGTCCAGGCATGAAAGGTGTGATTTAACCCAAATCTGGCTCTTTTTGACTTCCCTCTTCCGATTCCCCTTCTGCTTCCCTCCCTTTTGCCCTCTATCCCACTGGCCTGCCTTGGCCAGCCAGCAGATATATGTTAACCCTGGGTACTTTGCTGCAACCACACTGGGCAGGCAAGCACAGCCTGGGGCAAGGCCACTCCAACGACAGCTGCTCTGTCCTCTGGAGCTCCACAACCACAGGAGCTGGAGCTCCACAACCACAAGAGATGGAGCTCCACAACCACAGGAGCTGGAGCTCCACAACCATAAGAGTTGAAGCTCCACAATGGCACGAGCTGGAGCTCCAGAACAACGGGAGCTGAGGCTCCAGAACCTCAGGAGCTGGAGCTCCACAACCACAAGAGCTGGAGCTCCACAACCACAGGAGCTGGAGCTCCA